GCAAAATTTGAGAGGCTCCTCTGAAAATAAAATCCTCTAGAACATTCTTCTTCAAGTTCTTGGTAAAAATTATGTAGCATTTCACCTGTCTCGAAAACTGATCTATTATACAAAAAGAGTTGGGAATAACTATATATTGAACTTCTGTTTCTTAAATCATAGGTTTTCTCCAGTAATGGTGAGAGCAGAGAGCATCCTAGAGCATTTTGTGACAAGAGCCCCTAACAGGAAGCTAATAGAAAACCTTCAGGAGATTAAACTAGGTTCTCAGCAAGTATAAATTTTGCCATTGCAGTGAGTTGATTCAGTTAATATCGATGAAGATTTTAGTAAAGTTTTAGAAACCCCACGTTTCTTCTCCAAGACTGTTCTTTGGTTCCTGTTCATATGGCAGGTTCCCAATATTGGCAAGTTCTTGTTAGGGCAAAATTTGAGGGAATAGCAACAATACCATGGCTGAAGAGACAGCAAAATGTCATTGTATAGAGTAGCACAAAAGTTAGAGCAAAGACTACATAATAAATCATTATTCATGTATCACTCAGACTCATTGAGGTAGGAAGGGATCTCTGAAGTCATCTTGTCCATGCACATCCTGCCCAAGCATGGCCTCCTAGAGTTGCTTGCCTAGGGTGGTGTCCAGATAGCTTTTGAGTAACTGCAAGGATAGAGACTCCACAACCTCATCAGACAGCATGCACCAGTGCATGGGGTTGTTCCTCCTCAGGGGCAGGACTTAGCACTTCTCTTTGTTTAACTTTGTTGAATACATATTAGCAGAAGCCCGTGAAGGAGACAGGTCAGTGGAGAAGAGCAGGAGAAGCAGGACCTGTGGGGTTAATGAGTGATATGCAAGTAGAATGCTACATCAATGGTGACCACCAGCTGCAGTGTGAGACAAGCAGAGAAAAAAACCTGTGAGGAGGAGCTTGAGAAGCCACCGGGAAATATAGAGTGTGAGAGATAGGAAACCCACTTGAAAAAGAAACTGTAACAACACTTTCTGTCCAACTGACAATAGGTAATTGTCATAAGAAGTGAAATACAGAGCTTTAGCCACTTAGTTTTCTAGGATAAATAAGTGGAAAAGAACAAATTCAGAAGCCGTGGCACTAAATTTCAACACAAGTATAATCCTCCACAGTCTGAATCTACAAATTTGCTTCATCCTTAGACATAAATAGACAAGTTGGAGATAACAGATATTGTCTGAACTACTCATGTCTGAATGAGTACTTCAGAGTCAGAAGCATTTGTTTTTAATGTAATCCAAGGCAGCATGGCCAAGATCACCTAAAAGTCTCTGCCTTCTTAGTGGTCACAGTATATTGCAGATTCAGCAGGTATATTGGGTGGTAGGCCAAAGTATTTCAAAGCACTGGTCACTCTTTTTTTTTTTTTTTTTTTTTTTTTTTATGAAGGTCTGGAGTACAGAGTAAAAAAAGAAACACTTTGCAGTTTATACACTTTTATATTAATTGAGCCTCCCCAGTTACACTGCAGCTTTATCCTCAAAATTGTCTCTTCTACTAAAAAAATCACATGTATCTTACAAAAGTAAGGTATATTATTTTGATCAATCTCTGTAATGATTCAACATCAAATATAAAGTGCAACTTAAAAGATACATCTACAATACCAGAGTCTCAAAATGGTACTTAGATTGGTCATTGAAACATGAGGGGAAAAAAATGGAAGCCAAGTTCAAGACCTAAGTTTAAGTGATAGAAGTAGTAGTGACATTAGGTTTCAATCTACCTTTAAGGAAGCAACTAAAAATACTTAAATTTTGCAACTCACTTTGACAGTAATCACAGACCTGTCTTCAAAACCATTGGATTGATCTGTGTTGATTTTGTCTATAGACAATGACACAGTATTTTTCTCTGGTGTTTCAAAAATTGCAAAAGGTTAAAACTTCTTAATAGAATTTGAACAGGACATCAGGGTAAAGGCTGAACAAAAATAAAAAGGGACACAGTGAGCTAAAGTTATTTGGTAACATATGCAGGTTTTAACTATTTCAGAAATAATGAGCGAAACAAATCCTTTTTGTTTCAATCATAATAGGCTATGGGTTTCCTTAAAGAATTACTTGTATTGTTGCACCAGAGGCCTCTTTTGTCTTCAGAGCCATGGCAGGTCTGGAGCCAGTCTGTGTTCTTGCAAATTTTTCCTCTAGCTAAAGGAAAGAAAGAGCAGACGACACCAGAAAGCACTTGCTAGCTCCAAACAGAGAATCCAGAACTATCAAAGTACTTGGTTCATGCTGCTTTGTTTCTGTCAGCACAGGATATAAAAGCATCTTTGGCGGTATGTTTTGATAACAGAAATGAGTACCTCGTCATGTTTTAAATCAGCAGCTGAAAGGCTTCTTAAGTGAACGTGACAGTATTTGAAATGTCCCATGCTGCCACACTTAAGATATGCCAATCACAATTAATAGCAACAGATTTGGTATTCCAAAACAAATAAAACCTGCAGAGTTTTTCTGCTAAATGAAGAGCTGATGAGTGAAAACAGAGGCAAAATTACGACAATAGTCAGTTACCCTGTCAATGAAAATTACTTTCATTTGTCTGTATTCACAAGGGTTAGTAAACAATAATGCTTCAGCTAATATAGTTTTTGTTATATTCAAATTGAATGTGAAATACAGGCTGACATTATAAATGGATATCTTACTCTTTTACACTGGATTTCTGAGATCTTCTAAGCTTTTATGTTTAAATCAGTCTGTTTCATACATTTTCATATCAATTGATTACTAAATGTCTTTCAATTTTCCTTCTAGAAAATTAAGGACAGTACTGGGTGTTGTTTGAAGGAGAGATGTATCTATAGCTTTCCCTCACTCAGGAGCCAAGGGAATGTTTTATATTATTCTAGTGGATTCTATAGAGATGTGTTGAAAATCCACTCAGTAGGGAGGTAAGATCTCCCTCTCTCTGTAAATAATTATTCTCACCCTCCAAGGTCTGTGAATTTCTTTTTCTGAAGTCCTACAACAGTTTCCGTGCTCCTAGATGCCATGTACCACCAGCAGGTTTTAATAATAATGAGTTGCACCTCATGTCCCTCTTACCACAAGAAGTGGATGCAGATTTCCTTAAATAAATTCTTTTTATTTCCTTTTTTTCCTTTTCTATTGAATTCTGCTTTTTGTGTCACCTGATCCCACTTACTTTCATCTAACTTCTTCCTCAAGTTCATGCTGAATTCAAGGTTTCCCTCTAAGCCCTCCTTAAGCAGTCATTTTCATTGACTGGTCAAAAAACCCTTTTCTTTGTAAGCCGAGAATGTATTGAAGGGCTCCCTTATGGGCTACTAGTCTGGATCTATGACTTAGGCAACTTCAGGACACCAAGCAACACAGGCTTACTTGGATAAACATAAGGCAAACAATTTGGATAAGAATTGCTCAAATTGAAGTGTGTGATTAAACCAGCTTTGCCTCCTTTAAACCTTTGCTGGGCAGTCTCCTATAAAGCTTTTAGGGACTAATGTTGGGATTACAGCAGGGATGTTAAGGCTAATAAACCTATATAAAATGACTCGCATTCATGCAGTAAAGAAACTAATTCACAAGTTCTAACCTAACAGGAAGACAGATGTAAGGAGTCTCGTTCTGTAACAGACCAACTGCTGTCTCACAGTTGGATTCCCTAAACAGTTACACTGGGAATATTTTGGACAGAAAGAAAACTTTACAAACCCACCCACATACATTCAAAAAACTTCTGTAGCTCTCAGTTGGCTCTTAAGTCTTTGGTTGTATTAAAAAAAAAATTCACAACAAACATGAAACAATCTCTTCAGCTTTCCTCAGCTGGTCATCAGTGCTCAATGCAAGAGATAATTTCAGAAGTTTTGTCTCTAGGTTTATGTGAAAAGCCTCAGCTTCAGCTTTTCTTCCTTTTTTTGGACAGTGACATTAATTTAGCTTTTTTCCCCTTTTAGGAGTTTCATACTTGATTTTCATGGATACCTTTACCTTTTACGGATGTCATCTGATGGTTTCTAACAGAGAACAATGTAATTCTAAAATTACATGTTGCCAGTGTTACATAAATATGATACCTTTACCTTTACCATTCCATCCAAATTCATGTTAAAATCAAAAAATAACCTGGGAGTTTTGAAGCTGCAGTGGCCATGACTCTTTGTAGAGCGCATGCTCCGTGCAATTACAAATAGGTGTACCTGCAGTGCCAGTAGTGACTGATGAACAAAAACATGGATAAGCCAGAAGGCATTCGTTCTGTTTTGTTGTCAAGGTTTATTATCTAAATCTTCTTTGTTTTTATATTAAGTTGTGTTTTCTTATTCCATTTTGCATTACAACCCTAACTTGCAGACCAGAATTCTAAGCAGTTTATACCCAGCCAAGATCTGAAGGCCCTGATGTATTTAGGACACGTGTTTAAAGTTCTGCCAGAAGAAGTAGATTGTGAAGGACTTGGGAATATAAGTAGAATTGGGGAACACCCTGGGCTACACCAGATGCTAGAGAGGATTAAGAAAGCAGTCAGGAAGGCCAGAGAAGCTGGAGTCTAAACATTATAGAAGATAATTGAAATAAATCAGAAGCAGGATGAAAGAATATCAGGTACAATCAGACCATTTAGCAATGGTGACAAGTCTAATTCAAAATCCAAATGCTAGGGCATTTTCTATCTGACTGTGTAAGAACATAGCACTCATTAACAACGATAATTCTCCAGCAGATGATGAGAAATACCTTTTCTTTTTTTACCCAGAGAAAAATCACCTTTCTCTAATGACACAACAACAAATCACAACAAGCTAGCAGTAGTGCCCTGAACTTCTCATGATTCCCACACTTGGGCAGCGAAATATCTAGGAAACCTTTCAGCACAAGTGCTCCTGTTCCCTGTGGGCTGTGGGAGGGAGACAGGGAAAGGGAAAAGGAAGGTCTCTATAGCAATGGGGAGGGTATATAGGTTTTCTCTTGGAGGCAGTCTCCCTCTTTCTCTTACCTTGTTGCACAAAGGATCCATACACAAACCACATGGAGTTGTAGAGAGTTGTAGATGTCATGGATCCCATCTGAAGGCGTGGGGGGTTGAGCCAATTCAAGAGGTAGACCAGTAGCCCTACTAAGAGCACAGTGCCAGCAATGCATGCCCACAGGGAGAGGTCAAATGGTGCCAAGCAGGCAAACATGTCCACTGTCTTCTCTGCCTTCCGAAGCAGCACGCCCACCGAGTAGTCCATGTAACGCGTTGTGAAGTCCACCACATTCTCCCTGTCCGGGGTGATGGTTAGGGCAGAGATTCCTATATCAGCTCTCTGAGGAGAGGGAGAGAGAACAACATGCGTAAGTAGGAGCTACAGAAAAGATCTTTATTCCTCTGTGATTTAGCAGCTAAACTTATGGCTAAGCAGATGCCAAGATCAACGACTTCAGCATCATATATGTGAGCACAGAAACATGACTAAGGCCTGAACAGAATAGATATACCATGTGTCTCGGTTTCTGCAAGCAAACCTCACTTGGTGGACTCTGGCACATCAGCTATCCATGTTTTTATTTTCCAAGAAATCAAAATACTACAAAAACAGGTAATACCTGAAAGAAATCCACTTTTGGTCATTTTTGTCACTCTGGTTTACTAAAGCCATCAATGCAATTGTTGCAAAAGGCAGATTTTGTGTATAGCAGACCCAATCAGAGGAAATTAGTTGCCTGATAAAGCCATCTTGTATCCAATATTTTGATGATCTGATGATCATGACAAAGGGCTACTGGACTAGGAGCACTTGAAATACCGTAAAACATCAATTTCGTCTGTAAAGTCTAAAGTGCAGAAGAGCAGATACTGCATGCAGTTCCTTTACTATTTATTCCTCTATATCCTCCTGACAAGCAATTTCTCCAGCAATGCCAACCTGTCCTGCAGCTACCTTTGACTTGCTTTGTGCTACTTACATTTTTTGTGTAATTTAAAGAATCCATTTCTGATGAAAAGAGAATGAATAATATTCCTTGATCTAATCATAGTATTTCACAGCATGTATTAGATCTCCAGAGACACCAGGCACAATTACAGCAGGTGCTACTTTACTTTTCATGGGTACAATTAGAAGTGCAGTGAAAACAAGAAAGGTTATTTAAAGCAGACACATGGATACCATTTTAAAAAGCTCAAATACGGAGCAATAAGACTGTGAATTCTAGATATTTTAATATGAAAAAGAGTACTTAAAATATTTAAACTGCTACTACTGTGACTTAATTCCTTTTTGTTCTGCCTAAAGCAGTGTGGTCCTTTGGAAAGGGGTGAGGAGAGCAGAGAGGCTTGAAAGTCAAATTTTATTAACTCTCTTGAATTTCCTTCCTCTTGCCCAAAGAAGACAGAGATTACTAGTTCCTTAGAAATGTGATATGAAATACCGAGTGGGAAGGTATGGCGGCTAAAACTGATTAGAAAAATTTGTAAATTAACTGGGCCATTTTAATGTGATGCGCAGAACACTCTGCAGCCTGTAGTAAAAACATACTTCTAATCACAGTGTACATAAGATTTCAGTTTAAATGATGTTAATGTTGATTGTTCATTGGATTGAGAAAGTGGCAGGAGATAGTTGGAGGTCTGATGATTGGACAAAAAAGTGTTTGAAAATATTGATTTGCTTAAAAGCTATGAATTAGAGCTTCAGCTTTAATTTGTGTGTTATAAGTGTCATAAGTGAAGTTGTGCTGATGAGCACAGTTGAAAGTATGGCTTCATGAAGTCACTTCATGTCCCTTCCTAACACATTTTTGTGAGTGCTGATTTAACTGTCCTTTGCCCATGGGCAGCAGCAAACTCAGTCAGTAATTAGAATTGTCCACGGAAACATTCAGGTTATTTGAGTCTCTCTGTCCTCTCACAATAAAACTTCTGGTCAACGAGTGACTCTAGTGATTCACAGTACCTGCTAACTGTCAAGTCTGAGCTCCAATGAGAAAACGTAAAGCAGTCAGCATTTGAACTGTTTTCTACAACTGTGACTATAAGTATGTTTTAAAATAATTTACAACTGTAAAAGTCCAATAATTGTCAAACAGGAAATTATTATTGTATTTAATGAATAGCATTAGTTTGGGTTTTTTCCGCTGAATGTATAACAAAAAGCAAAATGGGAATTCAGGGTTAAAAGAGGACATATGGAAACAAAAAGTCCTAGACTTATCCTCTGCTCCTTAAGTTTAGCTGGGTATCAATTATCAGCATGTTACTAAAATATTTCCCTACTGCACTAAGTTGCTAAATCAAGTTACATTGTTGTAAGATGCTTAAAGATTCTCCATTGACAAGCAACATACACAAGATACTTTTACCAAATAATAGTTCACTGTATGACTAATAGAATTTTTTTCTGCTTCCTCCCCGCCTTTTACAGTGAAACATATTTTTTTCCCCATAAAATACATTGACAAGCATTGCATGAAAAAACCAGACCATATGATATTTATGGAAATACGACTTCTAATTTGCATCTCTGGGAAGTAGTCTCTCTAAATTCCCTGGCGTTATGGTTCCACTCTGCTTATCAGCCAACAATGACAGTGGAACAATATTGTCCTAATGGAAATGTTGCATTTCCTTTGTTATATTGCAGCAACAAAAGTGATATAATTATGTCTTGCTACTTTATATGTTACATATATAATTAAGACTTTGAGATGACCTAATTGCAGCCTTCCGGTACCTGAAGGGAACCTACAAGAAAGATGGAGTGACAGGACAAGAGGGAATGGCTTCAAACTGAAAGAGAGTACTCCTCAGTAGTACTTCTTAGTACTCCTGTGTTCAGTTGTTAAAGAAAAAAAAGCTATACTGAAATACGACAACTCATATTCTTAACTTACTAAATTGGGTCATAAACACCAGTGTACCAGAAAACTATATGTCTAGCACAAAACCAAGCTTAAGCTTCATTTGATATTTGATTTACTGATGGTGAGCATTCTTGATTACATATAGATTCTGTCAACTTGTTTCAAAATTGGAAGATGAAAAAAAAATTAAATGCTTGTCATTAACATGTCACATTGGATCAGAGAAGACATCAGTCTGAAGAAGTAAAGGTTCACTTAGTGCTTCTGAGATAGAAAGGCAAATGCATGCAATTATGTCAATATTTAGATATAAACCTGCCAATCTGAATTATAAACATGTATAGCTCTTCACTCACTCAGTTTTTACAGTGCCAAAATCAACCAACTATCATATGTCTTACACATTTCTCATGAATGAAACTATGACTTTTGAAATTGACTGAAAAAACAGCAGAGGGCATTGTTTTGCTCTGTGTGACCTGCTTAGGAATTTATATTTATCTTCCTTAGCAGCCGTTCTCCTGTGGCCACTGTAGAGCAACATTACCAGAATCAGAAAATCCAAAAGAAATGACCAAGTGGGTCTGATAGCACTGTTACTGGTGTCAGAGAACCAGCTTATCAGCAAAGCCTAGAAATTCCTGAAGTGTCCCTAAGTTACTGCTTAAGCAAGCACATCTCGTACACGTGGAAAACAATCTTCTGATGATTCCTGTAATTCATGATCAAGAACAGGGAAAATAAAGGAATCTACTCTAAATTTCTCCTGTGAGGCCCTTCATTTTATCCATTTTCAATGTTAAATCAAGTTTCAACAAGTACTAGAAGCAATAAACCACAGTCCCACATGTTACACAGTTACTAATACGGACATGCAAAAACTAATCAGAGAGACATTGTTACTCAAGTTAACACACATACATCCAAATAAAAATCCTTTTACTCAGATATTATTTTTTTCTTCTCACTTTGTCCTCTCAATATGCTTGCTTCCTTCTTATGCTACTCCTCTTACTAAGGTGCAATAGAAAAACAGCCTCATAAGAGGCTTCTACTTGGCTTTTTTCTGTTTGGATGGACCTAAGTGGAATCAGGAAGTTTTCCCTATGCTGTTTGCTTCCTGAGGGTTCCTCCCTGGAAAAAAATCCTAGCAACCAAGGTAGCATGGTGAAATGCAGAAAGTCCAGAGTCATGCTGATAAGCCTACTGTTCTTTCCCAGAAGCAGCATTAGCGACTTCTGTTGCCTGTCACACAGGCTTATCCCTTACGCAATGTAGAGAGAGGGCAATTAAAGGAATTACTGCGAAAAGACACAGATAATTAACAGTAAGAGAAAGATTTGTGGTAAAGTGCTGCTCCTTTGAGATGGTTTTAGCCTCTCTACAAAAAGCTGCTGCTCTCTGAGCTAATTCTGCTGGTGAAATGAAGCTCTACAGGATGCAGTGAGAGCCCCGGTCATTTGACAGGAGAGGGAAAAGAGCACCACGTGCGCCTCTCAAGAAGCATTTATTCTCTGAAGACGACCTGGTTCAGGTGCTCAGCAAACAGAAAGCTTTACACAGCATGGCTACTTTCAGTTTATTTTGACAAGAAAAAGCGTATGGACCAAGTGTGTACCTAATATTGGTCTTGACAATCAAAGAAGGAGAGGCTTGAATCAGTTTCCAAGTTCAAATTAAAGACCAGTTGCTTTGTTCTACTGATTCCAGCTCCTACTTTAACAGCCAACAGAAACCTTGTCTTCCAAGCTGAAACAGAGTGAACTTGGCGTAATGTCATGTCTGCAAAGCCAGCTGTAGACCCAGGGCATGTACTTGGCACAGCTGGGCTTCTACCCTGCCATCCAACTCAAGCAGGGCTGCTGCAAACAAGTTCAGCCCAGGACTGCTCTCACTGACACCAGAGACTGCTGCATGCTGAAGATGGTTAATGCAAACAGTATATATGGACCTTGAACACAGAAATCATATGCTTGTTACAGAAATTGCTATTTCATATGGCACATCTTCTGTAGTGGCCACAGACACCTTTCTCAATGAGATGCTCTCTACAATTGCCCTCTACAAGTACCTGAAAGGAGATTGTAGTAAGGTAGGGGTCAATCTCTTCTCTAAAGTAACAAGCAATAGGACAAGAGGAAATGGCCTCAAGCTGTGCTAGGTTTAGATTGGGTTTTAGGAAAACTATTCATTGAAGAGGTGAGCAAACATTGGAACAGGCTACTCAGGGAAGTGGTTGAGTCACCCTCCCTGAAGGTATTTAAAAGGCAAGTAGATGTGGCACTTCGGGACATGATTTTGGAATGGACTTGGCAATGCTGGGTTAACAGTGGGACTGGATGACCTTAAAGGACTTTTCTGATCTGAATGGTTCTATGATTCTATGCACACAAAAAGAGAAGGCAGCTATTTGCCATTACCTTGAGTGAGATTTGTCTTTTGTAGAACTCATTTCTGGCTGACACACTAACTAAAGAGCACTCCCACCATTTCTGGAATTTCTCTACTTGTTGGCCAGACTATCTTGGTTGGGAAAACAAGGAAACACTGTGTTTCAAACAGGTTAGACCTTTCACTTAAAACTATTCTCTGCTCTTTTGCTTCCCCTTATAAAGTTGCCAAGCAGATAGATATTTGAGTTCTGGGAGCAGAACTCGTTTCACAGTAAATAAGAAAGCCGCCTTTAAAGAACAGCTTGCACTTGGTAAGGGGTAGACATACACTGGCTGCTCGCCCAGAGGTTGTCTTTTGCCTTTAGAGGGACAGAGAATGGGAGAGAAGGACACAGTGAACTTTACTGTTAATTAATTCTCTAAGTGTAAGGAAGATGAAAAATGATACAATGACATAGTGCTGGGAAAACACAGTTTTTGAATTCCAAATGCAGTTCCATTAACTCTTCATACTTTGTAACCATACAGAAAGATTTCATGTTCATTAAGACTCATTTACAGAAAAATCAGACCAGATTACAGATTATAGCAAAATCAGACCAGACTGGTCAATCTGTTGCACTCATGACACTGATTTACAGATCTGGGTGGTTGCCACCATAAGCAAGCTACTAGCATTATTTGAATCCCTACCTACCAAGGGGACAAGAATGCCATACATATTTTTCCAGTCAGCCGTTTCAGTTGTTATGAGTTTTGCCTTGTCAATCATTCATTGCAAATAAATAAAAAAAAATTCTAGGTCCACTTTCCTTTCCAGAGCCATCTAGGACTAAGATGCCTCTTAGCTTGTAGACTCATACAGTGATCTGCTGAGTACTGTAGAGAGTAGAGTGTAGTATAACATCAGATTTAGGAGCAGAAAAAATGGTTAAAAATAAATCAGTGGGTCATTGTGATCTTACATCTCCTAATTAGATGAGGGATTTTTAGTTGTAAAGTTTAGAAGATGAAGGAAAATACACTTTTCTAAGTGCTTCCAGCTTACCATCTACACAATTCCACAATTCCACCTTCCAGCTTCATAAGAATATAAGGAGATGGCAAAGGAAGTTTATTACTACAATGTAGATATATGAAATGTGCCATGGGTAAAGATTCCTGCTGCTCAGGAAGGCAGAATAGGTTAAACTTATCACAGATTTTTAACCCATGGGGATAAAACTTTTTTTTTCTTTTTTTTTTTTTTCTTTTTTTTAATTTTCTTTTCTAGCATTTTGCTGACTTTCAGCTGGGTCCTGTATCTGACCGTTTTGCTCCTTACTGTTTGCTGTGCTTATCAATTAAATTCCGCCTGCAGGTTTGTAAAAACACTTCTATAACCAATGTGTAAATTATTTACATGAATATCTACTGCAGTTATTTAAAGAATCAAAACAAATGTAGGTCTCTATAGCTGTAAAAGCTGCCTCTCCAGGTTAACTAAGAGCAAATAAAATACATATACTCATGGTACAAATGAGGCACCAGCAGAATAGAGTCTGCCTAACTTTTTCTCTCTCAATGGGAGAAACTGCAAGCAGATAGGATGTGAGGAGTGGGAAAAAAAAAAAGAAAAACACTGCATATGAATTTGATTTAATTTATTTATGACCTAATATTGAACATTTAATGTAAAATTAAGTAGACTAAATGGTTTATTAATGACAGAAGAGAGAATATATTACTCTTGATTCAAACATCTACATAATCTGTTATTATGTATCAATAAAACATTTTATGTTGATTATGTACTTTATGCATTCATCACCCCAACATTTTTCTAAGTGCTATACATTATTTATGTAATGTATTGCTAGTTACTGCAACACCAATTCTTCCTCTTTTGAACAGCCTCTTCAGCTCATTTGTGTTAGGTCTTGCCAAATTAATTAGGATGCTGCGCATCCCATTATTTGACTGCATTTAGAATTTACTTTGGTTGGAAAAAAGAGATTGCCTTGATTCTTATACAGTTACTAGCAAGTGCTATTTACAGCTTTTTCTTTACTGCTCAGTGCACACTGTGAAATGCTGGCAACATGCAATGTACAAAATGCTATCAATGACTCAGCTATCAATGGCTGATAGAAACACAATATACCCTGTCTTGCTTAGCTTTATCACATGACCTTACTTAGTAAGTTATTAATAACCTTACCTTAAATACCAGTTCTCCTATCAGTCCGTTCCATGACCCATCATCCTGAGGACTCCCATATTTGTGATCCGGTGCAACATAAATTTCATACTTAAAGCCGAGGTAAGTAGCCAAGGCTTCCAACACATCTATTGAGAAGCCCTGATACTTCTTGGGTTTTCCCAGAACATTTTCAGACACCATGACAAAAGGCTCTTCCTAAACAGAAAACAAAGTTGGAAACTGTTAATAGAGCAATTACATGCCACATTTGAGTGCTAAGGGTTTTTTTAAACTAAGGGAGGAACTATTCAAATATCATTTATACAAAACTTTCCTACAACACATTGTTAGCAGTGCTGCTCGCATTTTGTGAAATGTTATTTTGTTATGGTTGTACTTCAACAGAGAAATTTTATTCTCTATTATGTATTTCAGAAGTAAATCTTCTGCTGTAACTTTACAACTGAAATGCTCTTTTGTAATGCCTTCTGACCACACTTACGGTTGGCAGCACAGACATACACTCAATATTGGGCCATAAATATGGAGAATTCTATAGTGCTGCCATCTTCCACTGGCTGGGCAAACACTGTATGTAGCACAACCATTCATTCATGTTGTAAGGAACAAAAAACACGGCAAAAAGGAAATACAGAAGGACATTGCTCTTTTCCTCTACTGTAATCTGAATCTGAATCTAAGCCAGTTGACTTTAAACAGTTCTACCCAAAGAGAATCCATTTGATTAGTTTAGGGACAATCAATTATGGGAGCCAAGTTTGTCTATAAGAATGATTGGTGAATATTTATCCGAGAGGTTACCATAATAAAGGATACAAATAGATACTGAAAGCTGTAATTCGTTGGTCAGATTTCCAAACAACCTGCTTTTCTTTTTCTTTTCCTCAAGATCTGTAATACTTTCTCTATTTTGTTGTTAATATTTATCATAAAATTTCCACCACTCTGTTATTTTTTCTATTGCATAATTATCCCTAGACACTCTTCTTCACTTCGTTTTAAAATGATACACAAAAAGAGATCATATTTCTAAGCACAAAAACATAAATTTGCCATGGGTGAATTTCACTTCTCTTTGGTCTTTATTTTCTCTGAAAACACATCTGATCAAAGTAGAGCAAAAGTATTAAATCTTCCCCAAAAGCATGAAGGCACCATAACACTTTGGTGGTTTTTTTTTAAATATGCTTCATTTCATCCTTTCAGTTCTTTACATGGTGTTGTAATTTTGTATGAGTTTATCAGAAACATCTATTCTGAGGTGAAAAAGGTTAGTTCTGACTTGTCATGGCTTGGCCAAGACAAGTACATGAAACTACTCCTTGACCACTTTATTCTAGTCTGCAAACCCCACAAACACACAGAAGTAAACAGATTTGATTTTTTTGCAGTATTTGCGGCCCAAACTTTAATTGCATCTCAAGTGGCATTTTTGTTGGTGTTTAAATTATTTATTTCTTTATTACTCTATTAATCATCTCTGTCGAAGACTTTGAAGCCAAAGTACTTTTCACAAATTTTTCACTAATACTACACCTCACTAATATTTTCAGTTTGTTGGAATGTCCTTCTATATGAACAGGTATCACTGAATTGCAGGCAGGATGTTCTCAGAATAAGACTGTACTGGAAGGATGTTCTTTTTTGACTGCAGGAAATCCAGAAAAAAAAGCAACCCCAAACAAACCCCAAACCAACCAACGAACCCCCGCCTCTGACCAAAAAAAAAACCAAAAAAACCCCAAAAAACCCAAACAAAAAACCAGAAGGCGTGACTGTCTCAAGTTATTATTTCCTAGTTGTCAGATAGAATTGCTTTCTTTCATATTATCCAAGATCATTGAAATTGACTGAAAATGAAGGAGAGCAAATTTTTCCAGTGCCCAGGTTCTAGGAACATCGAAGGAATTGAAACGAAGTTGATGAAACCTTCTCCTAAATGAAAAGACTGAGTGAATTCAGCTTTGCTGATCACCTGAATGAGATATTCCATAAATACAGACTCCAAATTACTGGAAAGAAATGTTTCTGCAAAAAATAAATATGGCAGTTTATCAATCTAAACACACTATGCACAAAATTCTGAAGATTTGTATACAAAGGATGTTTTAGAAGTTGATAATTTTCATATTAGAAAGGATTAATTTCTATCACTTCTGCGTTATTTAGAAAATAGTTGCTCATAAACTGATTTTCTGTTCAGTTAGTTAAAAAGCAATTGCTCATTTAACTGATGTAAAACACTGTTTAAAATGCAGTTTGCCACAACTAATAGTCTTTTATTAAGCTATGTAATATTGTTTGCTGTTGAGAGATTTACCAAAAAAACCTCAATGTCCAGTGTTCTATATATAATGAAATATAGTCAATCAACTTGATGCAAAGCAACTAACTTTCCAATTTCTGTTGAAGCTTGGAGCAGAAAACTATTTAATCATATTCCAAACAAAACAAAACCAATCTACTGCTATGATTTCTTTTTGTGTGTGTGTGTAATTGTTTATATTTCTCAGAAGGCATCAAAAGACGACAAAAATATTTGTCTTGATTTTTCCCCCCATAAATGTTACAGGCTGAAACTATGCCAGTTGTCCTATTTTTTGCACTGGAAGGGTACTATGGGAGCTCCTACAGTTTTGCAAGATGGATGATCTGCCTCACTGGACCCCATAGGCATCTGATATATTTAGGGGGTGGTTTTGTATCCAACATCAATGGAGATCCTTTAAGAGAGGAGCTACTTTCATTCAACTTCACCTCCAATATGCCTCCTTGTCAACTGAACACAGCACTACTAGGCCCACGGTAAGTGCTCCTTCTCAAAATAGCTCCACAGTTATCACTGTCTGGTTTGTTTTTGGGATGTAAAGCTGTGCTGCCCTGACACGAAGGAGGATGGGTTTAAGACTCGATAGGTTTTACACAGTATTGTGGGTCAACCCTCGTGGACAGCTAAGCACCACACAGGCAATACTACCTTCAGCAAAATGCAAGTCAGCGGGAAACAGGTAAAGTTTATATTGGGTGAAGCTGTGCCTATTGCCTTTTACAGCTGTAAGAGGACAAAGTTGGGTTTCAGAGGCGATTGTCCCCCCGAGCAAGAGAAACTGCAAAATGCTAGCAGACTAGCACATTTTAGGAAGGCTAAAGGCAGACCCAAGACTACGGTAACATGACATAAAAAAGGGAAAATGTTGGGAAAGATCACATGATAGTACAAGTAATTTGGAGAAGCAGCCCAAAAAAATGTTTGTCTCCGTTCATTTGCTTATTCTTACACGTTTTAAGGAAGAAGTCATACATTAAGACTGACATAGGTTAACAACATGCTACATATTAAAACTGTATATAATTTAACATCCTCCTCCCATGTGAGCGACTAATTACCTTTTTAGGCAATAGTTCAGGTGATGCTTGGCTCTTTTATTCAAGTAATTCTACTACTCAGCCATTACAAACACTCAGTTTTTGTCAGGTGAGCTGGTCCAGACAGATGTCAGAGCCAGGACAAGTGCTGGAGTAAGACTGCAAAAGCAGAAGTAAGGGAAGCACAAATAATATACCCTTTATGATATTGAGAATGATTAAGCAGCTCAGGCATCTTACCCAAACCTATTTTCAGATATTCAACACAACATTATTTGAGCACATTTCACAGATTAGGGTTTATAACTGAACTACTTGTTGAGTCAGAAGAGTTATCACCACCATTTTCTACCTGCAGAACTGCAATGCACAGATTTCGTGACTTGCAGAGCTGAAAGTGACCTGATGGGTCAGGGACAAATGCTTTAACCATAGACTGTTTTCCCTCTATCTTATTTTAATTCATTAAAACATTTGTTCTTACATATGTATCTATGTTCTGGTGAACCATGAGTGTAAGAGCAGGAAAAACAATAGTGGAAAGCATGAAGAAGAAAGAACAAAGGAAGGGGGGATCCAAAAACGAGGTGTCTAGGCCCAGGGAGAGAAAAGTCTTACTCTTGAAAGGACTTCTTGCCAGGGTAAAACTGCAAGTGGACAACAGAGATTTTAGGGTGCCCTAGTCCAGGGAGAAATGATAGCAGGGAAACATAGGCACAAGAAGGAAGGTCACACGTCCAAACTCCAGCCCTCAACCCCTGTCCTGAACTTCACATAGTGGGAAGTAAGTGATAGAGAATTTATTTTGTTTTATTTTAAATGTATCAGTGGAAATCAGAGATTGATAGTACAGAGCTTGGAGCAGTCTAGATTCAAGATAAGTAGAAGGAAATTCTGCACTTCATTGCTTTTTCCAACAAGATAAAGGGCTAACAGTTTTGCCTACTCAGGACTTAGGTTCTGGTGCATATACAAATGAAGTAATTCAAGGTTTGCTAGTGCTTCAAGAATCTAAGATTAGGAGTACAAAATATAGTTTTTATTTAGTCTGATGAAATTCTCAGACATACCAATAATTTGGATAAAATAGCTGATCTGCAGTAATCTTTTTATATCCTTTACTAGACCACCTAATAAAGTTAAAAATAAGAAAGAACAGAAAAGCTTTTGGGCAGACAAGACCTTCATGTTTGAAAACAGACAGAGCAATACTGAAGCTAAATAGCAGAAAAGAACAATTAGGCTGAGTTTAACTTAGTTATGTTAATTAATTAGACAATCAAAGAGAAACATTTGTTTGTAGTTGTGCTACAGATGTGGATGATAAAGTCAAGCAATAAATTCAGGCCTCAGAGGTGGCAGTGAGGGAGAACAAGAGAATGATTGCTTTTCAGGAGTTCAGGGACAACTTACATGTAGGGTAAATTATATCCCTAAGTCCAGTGTCTCTATTTGGGATGATAAAGTCAATAGAATAGTGACTTTAAATTCCAAGCTTTAATAGTAATCTTTTAATTCCTCAATGAAAATCAGGTTTAGGAGGTTCAGTGTTTTTGTATAGATTCTCTCTTTTTTGACAATTACAGAAAACTTTTTTTAAAGAACAGAAAAAGCACCACTCAGACCTTAAACACAGCACCCTTGCTGAATATGTGAGAGGAACAAAAAGTTAAATTCAGTGGCCTGTTTACAACGAAGTGGTTGTCTTAGCCCAACTGTTAATGATTTTATGTTTACGCCACTTCATTAGGAGAGTACTGAATGGACACCAAGGCAGATTTCTCTGCAATTATGAGGGTGGATTCCATGGCTTTAAGTCGATACTTACT